TCTCGATGTGAGACAAAGAATTCTTATCCAAATGACTCGTCCGACAGACACTATTAGATGGGTCTCCGAAATCAAATGAATGGCACCGATAGGGACTGTTCAGACACTTCTCTTTGCACTCCTCTATAGTCTTCACATTTTCATAGACCGAGTCAACAGTTTTCAAGATCTTCCCATTAATGGGTCGAATATCGCACAACTTTTTTGGCTCTAAAAGTAATTTTTAAAGAAAGTTATCAATCATTTTAATAGCAATACATTTCGCAGGAATTTTTTTTCTTTCGATGCAGACCTTGAATACAATTGTTCTCCAAATAGTCTATAGTGCCAGAAGACGGTCCATATTTTCTAGACCTCAGCTCATTGTTAATGTTGATGGTGTGTCTGTCCATATCGGATAGGGAGCACTCGTGGCCAATGGTGTCGAAGTTGACGGACCGGCACTCGAAGTCGCGTTCATTGAGACACAACTGCATGCACTCCAGTCTTGACATCACTTTTACACTCTTTTTGCCCATTCTTTTCAACTCAAACCCATTCACTCTCTCGAAGGCCCAGCCCTGAGTACAGGACTTGCTTTTGTCTATTCATTAAAACAATACGTTTTCAATCAATATTATGTTTATGACATTAATTATATTATTTATCAATACATTCACTCCATGCTAATCTCAATTACACGGTATTTACAAACCATTTAAAAATAAATTATTAATATATTTACGCTAAGTCTCTAATACTTGAATTTTTCATTATTCATTGATTTGTTTATTATTCCGTTTCCTTATTGTAAACCTCAAGAAGGGGTCACCAGACCTATCAAACCCACATATAATTGTGGATATATTACATAATATAAGCGGTTTCTTGTGATTTATTTCAATAATTATTTCACTGGTCGTAGAGTTGATACCTTTGGCTATACTTATAATTATGTAATAAACAACAAGCGCTGGAATTTTTGATAATTATTTTAATTTACAAATATTTCTCCGAAAGATCCTAACATTCAATTTCAATGCGAGATATTATGTTAATTCATACGATTAATCATTTTTATGTCCTATACTTAATCCCGAGCCTCGCGTAAGGAGTTACTTGTTTTTTGTCTATCATTTAAAGCTATATATATATTTTTGAATACCTGTATTCTACAAGTATTATATAAGTCTACTTATGTATAAGTCATACAATAATAAGGAATTGAATGAGAAATTAGACAAAAGAGAAACAAAAGACTAGTTTAACACTCAATCAATTAATAGAGTATTGTTTTGAGCGAAAAATGAGATAAAAAGGGAAATATTATTTTTCTCAAGAGATAAAGTGTTTCGGCGAGTGATTGATTAATAGCCTAAATGTTTACCTTTTAAACAGATTTTTTGTGCATAAATAGTGAAAACTGGGAACTGAGACGATGTGAGCGCTTCGGGCCTTTCGTTGGCTGAAGAGCTCAACAAAACACATAATCCCGTCTCAAAGTTAACTGATTTGCACGTGTCGTTGGACAGACACCACTGCAGACACTCCGTCAGGTGCAGTATCCCGGGTAACATTGTGACCGTGTCGGACGGCGCCGTGAATACCTGGCCGGTGATCAACTCGAATGTTACCACACCACCATTGGGACAGACATCTGACAGAGAAAGGGAGAGAGTGGTTATGATGATGAGGTTATTTGAGATTAATTTTATGCAACGCTTGAGTATATAATTTACAAGTTTTGCATAAATTAATGCATTAAATGTCTGCAAAACTTTCGTTTTAAAGCACGAATTATAGAGACATTTATTAATATATAATAACAGGTATTTTTTTGTGAGTTAAATTACATTTTTATAAGAATCTTTATTAAAATATAACTTATATTTCCGTACAAAAGTCATATTTACGCGAAAATTATAACCAAAATTAGCATAATACTATTAAACACGCGTCAATTGAGTGGCAAATTTGGTACTAAATCATTGCGACTGTCCATCAAAATGGTATTAATTGCAGCAAAAACAAGAAGTTTTTGTTTTGTCTTAAAATCTTGCGGAGTGTCTCTTATCTGATACTCAAATCTTATTTTGTTTAGATTTTCAGCAAATAATTATTCAATACAAACATATACTATATGTATCTTAAAGCCTATAATTATTATCCTTTCAGACATTGTGTATAATTGACTGTAAAAAACTAAAGCGATGTCTCGGAGAATAAGCTCTTGAAATGTAATTTTCATATCATTTGATCAGTTAAGTTGTGTACAGACTTCACAACTTATATGTTTTGGTGGAAATTAATGTAAGATTTGCCTCCAATTTGCCCCTTAAATACTAAAGCATGAAATGTGGGCTCATTTCGGTTATTATACTTAGATTGCACTTTGATGTGACTTTCGTTTGCTTTCAAATCATTTTCTAGTTTTCAAACAGATTTCCTTTTAATGCTAAACAGAAAGAGTTGTGTTTTTGACTGAAACTCTATCTATTAATCGATGTTTAATCGACTCAATTGATTGATCACTTGAATCTCAACTCTTCCCACAATTAAATAAGTTATTCATTATATTAAAAGCGATACTAATGAGAATTTTATGGTTAAATCAAATAATTTGAATGTAATTTGAATAAAAGTAAGTCATATTTGTTTAAAATAAGTTGTATTAATAAATATTTGTTTATTAAAATTATGAGTTATAATCGATTGATTCTTAAATAAATAGTAATTAACTCAACATTTAATATGATTCTTGAATTACATAATAATTGTTAAGAAAAAATAATTAAGAGATACTTACAATTTTGTTGAGCCAACACATAATTTTGTGTAACACTAGTGACCAGAATTATGTGAATAATTATTGAATAAAATAATTGATTGAATGTGAGTTTGTTTTTGACTGTAATTTCCATTTCATTCATAAATGAAGAATATTTTTGCACTTTATTTTGAAATGAATGTTGAGTTCGTTGAAGAAGTTTATGGTAAATAAGTCTAAAGACTTTTAACACTTAAATAGACGTTGGAAATACCTGTTGATTCTTAACACTTGTTTTACTTTTTAAAACTTTGCTATAAAACAACAGTATTTTTATTAAATCTTCACTTCATTTTAGTTCAAACAATAACACAATAAATTCATATGATTTTAGTCTAAACATCATTTCGCACATAAAAGTCTATATAAAACTTATTATAATTCAAAACATATTATCTCTTCAGTCGTTTCGAAAACTTATTAACACTTTTTAATGCCTTTGATATCAATAGGAAGTTATTGGAGAGAGAAGTCATTCATCGGAGACTTACTATTGACTTAACGAATAGGTATTTATAAAGAACTTTAAATCACTTTTCATGAGTCAAATAGTTTGCAAAAATACACAACGACTTGTCGATAACAACAAAAATAAAACACAAAAAGGTTTTCCTAATAATTTCAAAAGCTTTCAAATATAAGGCAAAATTTAATTGCGAATCTATTGAGTTGTGAATAAAAATAATGACATTATTATAGTTAGTCTGCGATTACAGAAAGTTCTTGAAATATAAGTGAATTCTGTGGAGTCGATAGAGACTCACACTTCTGAAGCCCAGACCTGACCTTAAACTTGTATTGAGAGGACTGGCATTGAATGCGCCAATACTGGCAACACTGCTCTAATGTCTTACAAATCAGGAAATGAGCTTAACTTCTAACAGCCCTTCCGAAGAGGCAGTCGAGCCGTAAGTCCGGCGCAGAAGCACTGGATCTCTATTCTTGGAAAATAGCATATCGTCGATGAAATTATTCACAAATATATTATGTTTTCGCAATACGTCTCAATACTATTTAGACTATATTTCCATAATGTTTGCACTCCTCTCGACTCATCGCCCGATAATAGACTTAATCATCACTTTTAACACATCGCGAGTCTTATAGTGTTCGCTGACCTCACCATCCCTTTGATTATTACAGCAATTGTCGAGATATATCCAAAATATGTTTTATTATATTTTCTTATTATTATACGTTTACGTGATTTTGTGCATAAAAAAGTTATCAAAAAATAATATTTTACATCAAAAAATCTCCATTAATTGTAATATAAAGTTCACGCAATTTTGCGAGCCATAAATTCCTTTTATATATACTTTTAAAACAATATATAATTATGTTTAGACATAGATTTAGTATTTAATTTTATTGCCAAAAAATGTTTACATTTATTCCTCTCTTTTTGAATCATAAGAATTGAGTGAAATTTCGCTATTAATCGGAAAAAATGAAATATTGTTTTAGTATATAAATGAATGCGAAAAACACACCCAAACTCATGAAGAAGGTATAGATTAGGCATTACTTGAGTTCCTGTAAATGCTATCATATTTCGTCACTAATCATGTCAGACACACCGGCCATCTCTGACACTCACCTAAAGCCCCTCTCCTGTAATTACCTGACCCTCTATTCTGGTTACCATTTCATTAGATTTGAGAAACTGATATTGAGAAAAAAATCTTTATCGTCAGTAATATTTAGTGGGAGAGAGTGAGAGAACTTATGAACAGAATTATAATTTATGGCATTTAAGTGAGAGGTTACAAGAATTTTCGCTTTTTCAGTGTTTTTCTCTCAATTGAATAATGATTTGTTGTTTTACAATATCTTATTAACTAAAACTCAATTCTGAAGCTAAAAGTAGATATAATTCACAACTTTATTAATGATAATTACATGAGACAAGAGAGTTGGCGCTAAACTAAAAGCATCACTCATTTAATAACAACTCATTTGAGAAAAAGTTGATAAAATTTGTTCACAAAAAACTGTTAGGAATTTAACTATTGATTTAGAAATTTTTAATTGAATAAAAGTCAAATAAAATGTTGTCTCCGTTTCGTTAGTTAGACTCTAATCGGAAACGATGTGAGAAAATAAAAAGTTGGACTCAAAAAACCACTGATTTTTAAAAGTAATTTCCCGGCGTTTATACAGTTTTTGTCTTCACCGGTAACTTACAGCTGGTAAGTGGGAAAAAAGTCATTGAAAAGTACTGAACACACTTTTTTCTGATACATTTATACAATTATTTGAATAAAAATGTGTTTTCTCTCATATGTGTTGTGAACGCAAACAAAAAACAAGTAAAAGGAAAGTTGCGTTCATTAACTCTTGCGAGCGTTTTGTAGTATTACGTGATTTAGTGAAGCATTTATTTATTCTTAAAGCAAAACCTTTAAGCAAAACATATTATAGATTATATCAAAACGTGAATCTTCTGACGCATCGCTAATTTGTGAGCTAAGACTACGGCCTAAGACTATGGCCTAAGACTATGGGCGCACACTTGAGCTCCACATCCAAATTATAATTAAAAACGACTATTATATTAGTTAAATATATTATTATCAATATATAAGAGATTTACCCAAAATAAATATAAATAAACAAAAATAGTGAAATAAATAAAAATTTAAGCGAAAAAAGGATTTTATTATTTTATAGTAAAGAAGTACGTGATCTACACATAATGGTTGTGCAGACACAGCGTCGGGTCTTCTTTAGTAAACTATATATCGTAAGACTTTTAATTTTATTTCATAATTACAATACAAATATTTTAAAGTAATGGTTTCCATGGAAAAACTGAACTTAAAGTGCATTTTCAAGCGATTTTGTGTTAAAACGTGAAATAAAATTTTCAAATCAATAGGATTTCAATAAAGCGAATCCGAGACTCAATTACATGTAAAACTAGATTTGATTTTTAAGCTCATTTTCAGGTGCAGGTATTTGAATGCATTGAATTGTAATAAATTAAACAAATATTTTATTTGAAAAGTTCATCAATAATACGAGAGAGAGAGAGAGAGAGAGAGAGAGATGACTATAAATAAAAATGATTTCCTAAAATAACAAAATCTTGTATGTACATCTTAAATGGTTATTGCTATTAAGATACAAGACATTAATGCAATGTTGTAAATGACAAAACTATTGTTTCTTATGGCTTTAGAGTCTTAATATAGTGAAGAGTTTGAGAAATTCTATTCACAAATGAAAGCAATTTATTCTTTAAAATTATAAATTATATGCTCTTTGTCTGAATGGCTCGAAAAGTCTCCGCAATTGTTTGTTGGCATCAAAAACAACTGTTTGTTATAACAATTTATTTGAGAAATTATTTTATATAACTGTTAATATTAATGGCTTGTATTATTTTGTTGGCTCTCTCACTCTCTCTCTCTCTCTCTCTCTCTCTCTCTCTCTCTCTCTCTCGACGAAAAGACAACGAAAACGAGTTTCAGTTCAAACCAATTCTGTTTCGCTTCTGATTCCAATTAATTCGCTTTAAAACTAATTTCTTTCAAAGTTTAAAATAATTTAAAAACTTATTTTTTATTTCTTTCAAACTTTTAATTATTCTAATGTCAGATACAGTTCAAAGTTATTGTAGTCATTGTATGGCTTATAGAATAATTTTATATATTATTATAATTTCTAATAACTTATAAGTAAATTGAAAACAATAATATTAAGGAAGTTTAACGCTTTTTATAATGCGTTTATAATTATAAGTATAACATTACGCAATTTTAAGTATAGCTTATTTGTTTTATACTGGAAATTTTAATACGAATTTTAATTAAAAACATTTTAATCAAATTTTTGATGAAGACTTTTCAGGAATTTATTATTAATGAATGAATGAAATTTTCAAAATTATAAGTTTGTTATGTTTTTGTTTAGGATATTATATACGCTATTTGACATTTGATGATAATTAAAAGAATATTAATTAAAATTCGTATTAATAATTCAAAAATAGCTATTTTAAAGGATATTTTATATAAAAACCTAACTGTAGTTTGTAATACAAACTTCGTATTGTGTACCTGAATATGAGAAATACAGGAACTTAACAAAAATCTATTACCTTTTGGGACGACTTTTTATGATAATTAGAAATTCTATGGTTTATACTCTACGCCAATGTTCTACTCTCTTATGTAAATAAGAATATATTTAATATTTTATTTACAAATTTTTTCATAACCTTTTAATAACATGAAAACTCCCACACGTTTCGTGTTTATAATTTTCAATACATAACTGATATTTCAAGAATGGAGTGACCTTTTGGCCCAACTATTTGACAAAATGTATATTTAAATTTTCAATACACTGTGTATATGTTTATTAAACTTGATTTCTATATAAATCTTATTTTATGAAACTTTTTGGAGGAATTCCGGAGTGCAGTCTCTCATCAATTGATCAGTTTATGGAGTGTTTGGCTTTAATCTGATGGTGAATCAGATCTGAACGACTCGACAAAAATGTGTAAAATAGTTATTCAGATCCCAAAAAAATCTCGAAATTCTGCTATTTTTATAGTATTTCTAATGTGAGTTAAGATTACCTTAAATCCAACTTTCCTTAAATGCACACAAAATTGTCATTTTTTATTTATTAATTATATGTTTTATTCATATAATAAAAGGGTATCACAGGTTCATTGGAGTCCATATAACAGCACCGGCTATTCATACACACAATTATTATGCATTAAAATAAAAATTTCTAAATCGAAAAATGATTAACTTTTTCTTAAATACAGTGCATATTATATTAAATATAACTTTCACTTCGTTTAAGGAAAAGAGTGAAAAAATGATTAATTAATGAATACACGAGAGAGCCATTCAAATGACTGGTACTATAAGATTATGAATTATTCAAAACTTGATATTTAAGTTCAGTTATAGTGTATTTAACTCTGAAAATATGCAGTTATGTTTTTTTGAATAATATGTTATAGTAACAGATAAGATATTTTAATGCATTTATGAGTACAGTATATATTGGATGTGAAATAAATTTTTTGTGAAGCTATTGATGGACTTCGAGATAATAAATAAGTTTTATATGTTTGACATCAGAGAATATTTTGCCATAAAAACGAAATTTTTTCTCAAAAAATAAAATTGAAATTTCTAAAAGAAAGGCTTGTTTTCTAACAAAAAACTTCTCACATAAGAGAAGATTGAATCCAATCTTTGCTTTCAGTCTGTTTCTGGTCAGACATCGCAAGTCATGACTCGTCGGCTGTAGTCAAACATAAATGAAATGCTTTATACACTTAAAACATAAGATTATAAATGATAGATATTAGTCATGAATTAAAATTCATTTATTATTAAATGATATTTATAAATGCATTAATAAAACCCTTTTAATGTCTACTTTTAAGAATTATTTAGAAAAACGATTCTTTAATTCAAGTTTTCTCACGCAAAACTGTTTTAATTATAATTTTTTGTGATACTTAAGTACTATTTCTATAGTCGAGAGAGAGAGAGAGCGAGAGAGAGAGAGAGAGAGAGAGAGAGAGAACGAGTTAATTGAAGAATTTATTACAAGTTTGATATGAACTCATGTACTTTTCCAATGAATTTCGAAATGATTAATAGATTTTCAAAAACACAACAATAAGAAGTTTCGATATTCAATATATTTAATGCAAGATTAATGTTCAGCTATTATTAATAGCCTATTAAGTAGACTCACTTTCCAAACATTGAAAATATTTGTTATGTTTTTAATACATTGAAACGTAACAAATCACTTTTGAAAATAAAAAGTTTCTTAGTCTTAAAGCCCTTTCAATAGTTTTTATTTGACGTGAGATCGTAAGTGAAATGATTATAAAATGTTCAAAATAAACTTAAATAAAAACGTGTATTATATTAATATTAACTTTAATGAACTCCACTAACAACAAGGG